GAAACAGAATATACTACATTAGTATTGAGATTGGATGGGGTGGGGGATTTAATGTTCGTAAAGAATTGGTTGAAGGAGTGTAAGGATGAGCCTGATACTAAAATGTTTTCTTCTAACAAAATTTTGGCAAAATAATAATATAAATCTTCAACGTATGGTATGCTGCAGTAAATAAGATTGGTGTTTTTGATGTTAGTACTGGTATTGGGAAAATTAATTTGTGTTTTTAAGAAAGTTCGTCTTTTTTGAATAACTGAATGAATGAGATTTTTTGGGTAACCATTTTCAATTAGAGTTATTTTTACTAGGGATAAATTTTGTGGATGGAAAGTTTGGTGAGACAACAAAATAGCATGGTCTGTAAGGGAAATAATAGTGTTTATCTTATAGTTTCTGGGACAGTATGAGGAATAGTGTAAGTATCTGCCCGACCATGTCGTTTTTCTATACCAATTTGTTCGAATAAAGTTATTAGTGTTGTAAACGGATACATCCAAGAAATTAAGTCTGTTGTTATTTTGTAGTTCATGTGTGAAAATTATATTATTGTTAAAATTATTGAAGAGATCTAGTACTGTGTTTATATGATTTTTGTTAATGATAAAAAAAGTGTCATCTACATATCTAATATAAAAGTTAATTTGAAATTTTAAAGTTGAGAAAACGGAAATTTCTAGTGTTTGTAAAACTAAGTCGATGATTCCGGGAGATAAGGGACATCCCATAGCTGCGCCTTTAATTTGAGAATAAAAGTTGTCTTGGCAATGGAAATAGGAGTAATTTAAAATAGTGTTGATAATATGAGTGAAGACTGTTTTCGGAAAGTCAGTAAAGTTACAAATTGTGTGCCAACGTTTATCGATTGAGTTTAGGATTAATTCATGTGGGACACATGTAAAAAGGTTGACCACATCTAAGCTTAGAAATAAGTGATTTTCAGGGATGTTGCGGTTATTAATTAAATTCACAAATTGGTACGAATTCTTAACATAATAGGGAGAATTGATTGTAACATTTTTTAGGACATCAGAAATGAGTTTCGAAATATTGTAAAAAGGAGAGCCAATGTAGGAGACAATCGGTCTGAAAGAGCATTCAGGTTTGTGTATTTTTGGAAGACAGTACATTTTAGGGGAGATAGGGTGTTGTATTTTTAGGTTAAAAGCAAAATTCTCAGAAATTAGTTTTTTGTTTTTCAGATCATTGATTAATTTAAAAGCTATTCTAGAAAAACGTTGTGTGGGATCTTCTGTTAAAATATTATATGTTGTATCATCTTTAAGTAGGTTAAGGACGGAATTGTTGTAAAATTCTTTGTCAAGAATGACTGTGATATTACCCTTATCGGCTGGGCAAACTATAATATTATTAGATTTAATGAAAGCTTTAGTTTCTAAAATGTCTTTGTGGAGTTTCTTTAAATGAAAGTTTTGAAATTTATTATTTACTTTCTTTATATGTTTTACAAACAAATAATTAAATAAAGAAATTGTTTTTTTAAAAACTTTTCTTGTTTTTTATTTTGTATTATTTTTGGATTCTTGTTCGAAACTCTACAAAATATATATATATATATATATATATATATATATTAGGGTGGTCCTTAAAATGGTCATATTCGAATTCCCTTGCTCCCATGGGCTCAAATGGTTCCAAATTGATAAAAAACAATTCTCTGAAAATTTTAGCTCTTAATATTAACGTTTAGATAGAGCGCAATTCAATCAAACTTTTGTATGGAAATAGCATGGAAAAATTTTCAAAAATTTTAAAAATGTTTGTTAGATGTAATTTAGCGAACAAATGAATGAATAAAACTCATTCATTTGTCGCTAAGTTATACCTAAAACATTTTTTTTAAATTTTCAAAATTAATTTTTTCTTTGATGTATTGCCCTACAAGTATTTACTCATATATCTTATATATAAAAATGGAGCTCTCGATCAAATGATTCGGTAAAACTCAAAAACGGCTAAACCGATTTGGCCAGTCTTAGTGTTGAAAAACTCGTGCCAATCCAGAGATGGTCGGAAAGGTGAGATATTATTTCAAAATCGCGTAGAAACTTAAGTTTAATGTAAATTTACATTTTTAATTTGAAAATTTTTGTAGAAGCGTAATTTAAATAAAACAATGGACGGTGGCTAACACGCGAAATGTCAAACGTTTTTGACAGATGATGCTCAATTACATTTAATATAATGTTTTACGTGAATATTATTTAACTAGTTGGTTTGGTATTTAGCCTTGAGGCAAGTTACATAAACTTCCCGATATATTTAAACAATCGACTTAATCAATAAAAATAAATTAATTTATGAGTCATTAAAAGTATTCCAAGTGGATTTATTACACATAATTGAAAACGAACGAACACTTTGACTTGACGGTGTATTTTCTAAAAGCAAATTTTCAAAAATCAATAACTTTTATAATTGAACCAGTTTTCAGGACTTTAATGGTTTATTATGTTCAAGACTAAGTACTCTATCATTATACCAAGTAAATAGTCTAATTTTAATTTTAACAAATGTCAAAAGAGCTACTCATTTTCTCAAACCTTGATGAATTTTTAAAATCAAACTATTTGTCGTAAGGCCGTAATATTTCAGTAAGTTCTATAAGACCATGGTATATATCGCTAAAAAAAATTCCATAAAAATCGGCTTAATTTTTTTTTTCAACAGTTAATTACAAGAAAACGGCTCAGTAGATTTTCACCTAAAACTGATCAATATCATTCCCCACTAATATCTTTCGAACAGTTTTTGATTTTTTAAAATCGGTTCGGTAGGATGAGCTTAAATGTGGACGAAAAGTTTATTACTTTTTTTTCAAATTACAAAGAAGCGGCTTGGCAGATCGTCGCACAAAACTGACAAACGATAGTCCTCACCGAAATACATCAAATGGCTTTTAAATTTCTGAAATCGGTTCAGGCGCTTTTGAGAAAACGTCGATCAAAAGTCTAATTTTGACAAATGCCAAAAAAAACTATACCAATTTTTGCAAATTTTGACGAATTTTTAAAGGTAAACGAGTTGACGTAGGGCCGTAATATTTTAGTATGACCTAGAAAACTATGGTATCTACAGTCAAAAAAAAAATCATAAAAATCGTCGAATTTTTTTTTAAAAAAACGTTATTACAAGAAAACGGCCCGGCCGATCTTTACCAAAAACTAATCAGCACGATTCCCAACCAACATCTATCGAATGGTTTTTGAATTTTCAGAATCGATTCAGAATTGCGGGCTAAAACGTGGACGAAAATTTTTTCACTTTTCTGCAATTTACAAAGAAACGGCCCGGCCGATCGCGGCACAAAACTTAGAGACGATAATCCTCATCGAGATACATCAAATGGCTTTTAAATTTTTGAAATCGGTCCAGCCGTTTTTGGAGAAAACGATTTACGGCAAAAAATCTGTTCACACACACACACACACACACATACTTTTTCCAAATTTGGTCTCATTCGATTCAGAATGGCTCGAAACGTCGAGAAAACATAAAATTAGCGAATCGGATTTTTTGATGAAAACATAAACTTCTCCTTCGGGAAGTTAATAATGATTAAATTGTAGTAAGTAGTTTTGTTTGTAACTTTATTTATATACAAACACGTTAGTAAACGGACCGCAAATGTTACTAGAGACTCAAAATATCAACTTTTTTGAAACGTTAATATGAAAATGCACTTTTTCTCATATTTTTCTCAAACACAGTGCTCTGAAAGATCTCATTGGTATTTATAAAACATTTTCTAGGTTATATTATTTATTATTTATGTTATTTAAATTCAGAACCTAAATTTGGTATCGATCAAATAGATATTTTGTCGAATAACCCAGTTATAATTTCCCAGAATTTATCGAAGAATAAATAGTAATATGTGAAGGTCCGGAATAAAAAGGTCCACCACCGATGTAAAGCAGTAAAATTAAGCATTGTTTAACAACAATATTTGAAAGTAGAGGAAAAAAGATGTATAATCAGCTATAACCTTGATTTAAAAACTGTAATCTTTGAAATGAGTGAGATAAATGGTAATCTTTGAAAAACCATAATCAAAGTATTTTCTTCCGTTCGTAGTATTTCGGAATTAGTTAGAAATGTAATTATTTTGTAAAATACCTTTAAAATTATAATAAGGCTTTAAATCTTTTTGCCACCTGCCCGTTTCAAGTTATACCGCCTACAGGGTAAAAAGGTCTAAATAACAAATTTTTGAAAGACATCAAAAAGCACATTTCTACAATGGTGAAGTAGAAGGCAGTTCGTTTGATATGTGTTATTTGTTGTGATATAATTTTTATTGTTTTCACAATATAGTTTATATTTGCTCAAAGTCAAATTGGACCTTTGTGCCTCGCCCTGCTCTACATATATACCTTTTATTGAATTTACTTTAATTCATCGAATGTTACTTGAAACTTTTCAAAAAGCAGGTCAAAGAAAAAATACTTAATTCATTTTCTATTTCTCCTCGCAAAAATTTGAAAATTTTGTATAAGTTCAGAAGTATTATTTACAATTATACACAAAATCCAGAATCCGAAAAGAATCTGAAAACCTTGAAACGTAATCAATAAGTCGAAAGACCAAAAAAGACTTGGATGGATTATACTATGTTTACTACAGAAAATGTATAAATCTTCCAGTTTGATTATATTGATAAAATATAGACAAACTAATGGGGTTTAATGTTTTTATAATACCTCATTGTATATAGAAATTGTATAAAGAAATTGTTTAGAATATACCATACTTAGCAAAACAACGTTTGCCGGGTCAGCTAGTATATATATATATATATTTGCTTGTTCAATATAAATTTATTCATGATCTCTTATACCAGGCACCTCTGCCTGACTGAGATATGTAAATATATATTATATTATGCTAATAAGAAAATGCTGAAGCAAAAAGAAAAAAAATGCAATTGATAAAAATATAAATTTAGTATTCATTATTTCAATATTAAATTTTTTACTTACAATTGGTAATAAGGGTTTATTTGGTGCATTATGTGCAACACTTGTATTAGATGGACTTGTCGGTTGTGATAAACTTTGATTTGTATCGTGAAATGTGTAGATAGTCAAATGCGGGCGCTGATGACCTCGTTCGTATGCTGAAAAATAATATATCTTGTTTAAATCGTATTATCGTTAATCGTTGAAAATCGTAGTTATACTATTAGTTTTAAACGCATTAATCTAACCTTATATAAGCGCTATTCAGTTTTTTGTTCACATTTTATAATATCCAAACCATAAAACATAAAATAGCATTTACAAGAGCTTACAAATTATGGCATAATAAAGTGCTCCAAAACAGTCATTGAAAACCATGTTAGATTTTTCCAAGATAATCAATAAATATATTCAAAAATTTTGTACATTTTTACATAAACAACTTTATACGATGTACTGTTTAAAATTATTTTTATGCCGTGGCCTTATTTTATAAAGATTTTAATGATAAGTGTAAATTTTGTTGAAGGAGTAAAGCAACGAAATGAACGGTCAGTGAGACACAAATACTGATTCACCATTAGCAATCGATGTGGTCATTCGAAACGAGTTAATTCGATTGGTCGAGATAATCTTGTCGCGAATATATCGATATCTTTGGTTCTAAACTGTGGTAGTTAACTATCAACCGAACAGTGATGCAGAATCCAAAATCATTTGATTTTGATGGTATGTAATAATAGACACATTGATTTATTAAAAATGTCTGAATCTCAAGAGCATTTTACATCGTCGCCCGTAAATAATAATAATTATGATAAAAAAATTAAACATCTAAGTAAGTTTATATTTTATTATTTATAGTTGCAATTAAGGCACTAATTACCTCTTAATTATGTTCCTTGACGTTTCACTCAGACAATCAATACACTTTTAAAAACTGATGTGATCTGTAATTACCATAGTTAAATAATAAATGACAATGGACACGTAGTGAGTTTATATACCTACTCTGCGATTTTTTATTCAATGTCAAAAGTACAAAATTGTGGTTTTCCCCATTTTCCGCGGAATCCATAAAAACCATCAAAATTTTTTAGATACATTTGTTTATTATAAAATTCTTCACAAAATTGATTGTATAATTATTTTTCGTTGTGATCACCGTACGAAAGTTAAAAAAAAATTCTTTATAATATGCCGCCTTTATAAGTCGTCGAACGCGAAATATAAATAAAAACTAGTGGCCTTAAAAATATAAATAAAAACATTGTGCCTTAAGGCAAATTGCTGGAACTTTCCGTACATTCGAGGAATGAAAATAATCAATAATTGTTTTGCAAATAGATTTTTAATTATAAATACATACTGTAAATTGGGGCGACGAGCGCATTTTATGAACAATTATGTCTATGTTTACAAGAAATTTGTTTATTTTTTTTTAAATTTGATTTTTTTGATAATTTTGAAAAATTTCTAGAAGTTTGGATTTGAGAATTTTTTTAGGTTTTTCGAAAATTTTGAATATATTCGAATTTTTTTGGAAATTTCGAAATATTTTCAGATTTTTGTAAGAAAACGATTTATTTAAATTTTTATAATTTTGAAATTTTCCAAAATCTAGTTTTTTTAAAAATAAAAAATTTCAAAAATTTGAATTTTGTAAAACTTTTAAAATTATGAAATTTTCTGTAAAAGCATTTTTGGCACACCGTCTACTCAAGCAAACTGTTTTTTGAATTAATTGAATCGGGTGATCCGTTGTCCCAAAAATTGCATAACCGTTTTTACAACCTTTGCGCTCCATACCTCCGAAACGGCGAAATTGCATTTTGCATAAACGCCTCGTGATCGTGTACGTACCGAATGATTTTTCAATCATACAAATCGGTTATTTTATACTATCGAAAATATCGACGACATTTGTTTAAACCATATAAATAAGCTTCAAAATTAAAAATTTTGATACGGAACCAAAAAAAAAAAATTATATAAAATGTGTACACATTATTAAAATCTCTATAAAATATCTGATAATTTGATGTACATATGTCCAATAAACATTTTTGACGGCCAAATGTCATTTTTTTAAACTTATTTTTATTGCGAGTCCATAAGCGATAGACCTGCCTTCCCAAAAAATTAATCCGTTCTTCATCTTGTTAACACAAGTAAAATGTTTTTGGAATTATTAAAATTGGACGCTCGGTTCTCTTAAAAACTAAGTTACCGTTTTTCGCAGTGTTTGCCCCGTATCCTTGGAACGGCTAGACCTGCCTTTACCAAAAACTAATCAGCAAGTCCCCTTATCAATACGAATCGAATGTTTTTTGGATTATTCAGATCAATGTTCCCGAAATCGTCGACAAAAATTTGTATCCGCACACACACATACTCATACACACATACATCCATTTTTTCTAAGGTATGCCAAAATATTCAGAAACCTTTCAAACGTGAAGATATATAAAAATTTTCATTTTCGATTTTTTTACGATTACTATACCTTACCCTACCGAAAGTTAATAAGATACACGGGTTTATGTTTAGATAGTACGAATTCAATTAGTCTTTTGAAGTATCGAACTATAGTGTTATCTACCAATTTCCTTCCTTCTTGAGCAACACATGCCAGCTATATAATTTTCCTAGCGTGGAGGGTCACATACCTAATTATTTTTGAAGGGAGTAAACGAAATAATTAAGTACGAGAAAGGGTTGGAATGTTTTCGACCTCAACACAAAAATGACGTCAATGTCAAAAAAGCTGATGAATGTAATTGTGCTTCTTTTAACAGTAAGTCACAACAATTTCGTTCATTCTGGACGTCCAGTTATCAATTGACAGCCGCGTGAGTAAGAGTTCATGTAAATGATGTGAAAATAATGAAAATTAAGTACTGAGCTGTTATTCAACATTTCTTTTTGGAACACAATACCCCAACGCCAATTAAAAATAAATTGGACTCTGGGGATAGGGACTCTGCACCATCATTTATCACAGTGAAATTTTAGGAGCTGAATTTATAAGTGGCCGTAAGAGCTTGAGAGACAAAAGTTAATGGGGACGACTAAAAACTTCGACTTCAGACGATAACATTGATAAGGTTTACGAAATGATGTTATACGACCGCCAAATCAGAGTAAGACGGCTAAAAGAGGTAAAGAATATGTCAAAATATTGTTTGTCATATTAATTATACATGAGAAAGCTATCTGCCCGATGCGTGCTGCCTTTGCTTCAAATCAACATTTCCAACACACTTTAGGCGTTTCTAGGCAAAATTTAGCTCCAATTAGTTGCTGTAGGTAAAACTGGGGGATACATTATTATATGCCGAAAATTACTATCGAAACAGTGGACTGCATAAGGAAAAACTGGTCCAAAAGGAACAAAAACTGTTTTTTTTTTGGCTGGAAAATTGATGGCAACTGCTTTTTGGGATAATCGTGGAGCTAAGCTATTTTAATCGACTGTCTTCAAAAAATTATTTTTGAAGACAATTATTACTGAACAAGATAAAAACACAAATTGCGCAAAAGGGGCCACATTTGCAAGAAAAAGAAATCCTGTTCCATCAAGACAAAGCGCCATCGTCTTCCAAGTACTATTTGGATTGGTTGGATTACAGAGGTGGGAGCATCGCTGGAAAATAATCTTGTTAACTTCCCGTAGGGTAAGTTATTGTAATGGGCCGAAAAGCGAAATTGAAAATTTTTACATTTCTCGACGTTTTGAAGGTTTCTGAACATTTTGGCATACCTCAGAAAAAATGGATGTGTGTGTGTGTATGTATGTATGGATAGAAATTTCCAGTCACGTTTTCGGGCGCACGGATCAACCGATTTGAATGGTTCAAAAAACATTCGATTCCTATCGACAGGGAAAAGAGCTGATTAGTTTCTGGCAAAGGCAGGTCCAGCCGTTTCGCGGATACGGAGCAAAAAGTGCAGAAAATATAAATCGAGTTTCTGAGTGAACGGAGCATACGATTTGAATGATCTAAAAAACATTCAATTTGTAATGATTGGGAGAAGGGCCGATTAGTTTTTGGCAATGGCAGGCCCAGCCATTTCAAAGATACAGAGCTAAATGTGCAAAAAATCGCAGTTTTTGAGAGAACTAAGCGTCCAATTTAAATGATTCAAAGAAATTTCAGCTTGTTTTAACAAAATAATTGATTTCGGAAAAAAATTGTATCATTTTTTTTTGTATCGAAAATGATTAAGATTTTATTTTTAATTCTGACTAAAGTTCTAATATACTTTAAACAAATAATTTTAACTTCGCTATTCAGTTTATATATTTTTATTTTTATAAAAATCTATTTGAAAACATTATGTATTCCTCGAACATTTCGTTACAGTACGGGAAGTTCCAGCAATTTGCCTTAAGGCACGATGCCATACACCCCACTAGTTTCATTGTTAGGTCGGAAACTTTCCAACCCACCCTCGTATATATGTGCAAAGCGTGTTATGACCGTCGAAAATTTGTACATTTATATTTTAATCTTATATATAGAAATGGAGCTCTCGATCAAATGATTTGGTAAAAGTCGAAAACGGCTAAACCGATTTGGCCAGTCTTAGTCTTGAAAAATTCGTGCCAATCCAGAGATGGTCGGAAAGGTAAGATAATATTTCAAAATTGCGTAGAAACTTTACATTCTTAATTTAAAAATTTTTGGTAAACAGCACTTGATTTAAAATAACTTCCCACACAATATTATTTATGATGACAGATGAATCGCCTACTCATATGTCAACTGGTTTTGACAAGTTAAAACAGATTATGTTCAGTGTTAGATAGTGTTGTTATTCTTTTAATTTTATTTAAATATATTATTGAAAATATATATTTTTAAATGTTAATAAAAGTGTGGGAGATTGGCAGGCCGCGTCAAAGGGTATGGGCGCATTGCCATATAGAATCGGCCCCACCCTGGTATTTAAATAATTTAAACGCCATTTTATAGGTATAAATGATAAAAACCGATATACCAATTTTCAACTTTCTATCTCATCTTATGGCCGAGATATCATTGAAAATATGTGAAAGTGGCCCCTTTTTTCAAACTCACTTTCAGACGTAACCATAAAAGATATCGAAAAAAAATTTACGTGGTTCTATTTATATTGGCTTAGGCCACATTATGTAGAACAATCAATTTCAAATAATCAATTATTATTAGCTGAAAAAGATAAAATAATTTTTCAATTGATGTTTTTCGGTAGCGCGTTCAGTTGGACCACCTTCTAATTACCTTTATTCGAAAGATTATTGTTTTTTCTTTTAGTACTGAAAATATTGTTCAAATCAATTTGGTGGAACACATTGTAAAATTGAAAAAACCGGAGCCAATACACCCGCGCGT